CCAACTTCCCTTTGACCGTGGGTGGAGACAGCACCCCCTTCTTCAGGGGTGACAGCCCCACCTCCTCGGGTCCCTTCTGCCTGGCTCTCACCTTCACCACCACCACGTAGCCCTCGGGGGGCAGCTGGCAGAGCTCATTCTTGAGCTCCAGCACTGCCCGCACCAGCTCCATGACATTGAGGTACACCAGGTCATCGGTCCGGTCCAGGTTGGCCGTGGGCTGGATGGACTAAGGACAAGAAGCAGAGGAGGCTTGGGGGACCTGGGAGGACCCTGCTACCACTGCTGTTCTTTTGTGGGTAGGCAACTCAGCCACCAGCCCTCCAGGAAGGCCTCTTTGGTGGAGCAATAGTGACCTTTCCTGGGCGTGTATCCCTCCCTTCTGCCTCCAGGACAGTGGCTGTCCAGCCAGGGAGCCTAATCACATTATGGTGATGGCCTCACACACACCAGACCCAGGGAACCATCACCTAGCCTTGAGGTCCAGGTTGGTCAGTGCCCCTCAGGTGATTCTAATGGGCAGCCGACATCGAGAACCACTGTTCTAGAGCAAACAATACCAGTGGCCACCCAGGCTACTGCAAGGACGGGGCGGGGGTGGTGCCAGAGCTCGAGGGAGGCTCAAGAGAGAAAGGGGCCACTCCTCCTCCCCCAGGGCTGCACCTATGAGCTTTCCTCTGGGTCAGGCAGTGAGGACAGGAGCCTGGCTCTACCCCTGCTTCTACATGAACCAGCTGAGGCAGCCTGAGGCAAGGCGCTTGTCTTTAAAGTCCATCGTCCTCAGTCCTGGGAACCCCCACTCCAATTCACATCCAGCCTTGGGGGAGCCAACACCTACCTGTGCCCCCAGTCGCGGTGGCTTCTGTGGGGGCCCCGTGAACTCCGCTGCAAAGGGAAGGACAGTGAGTGAGTCAGTGGGCGGAGGGGTCTCAGCAGCTGGCCTTTTCCTTCATTCACGCTGATGATCAAGCAAAGCCCTCTCCTTGGCTACCAGGAGACTCGGGGGGTATTAGGCCCCAATCCCAGGAAGATGGCAGGGGAAGAGCATGCTGGCCTCCGTGGTTTTGTATAGAAAGAAAAAAAAATCAAAGTCACAGCAGAGATGGGGTGACTTCATGGGAGTTCCAGCTCTGACGTGCTTCCTCTTTGATGGACACAGGCCCAAAGGACAGCAACGCTCTGGCCTTGGCCACCCATGAAAAAGAAGCCTCACCCTCTGCAGGCAATGGGGGTCCATGGAGCCCCCACCCTGGTGTAGCAGCTGCTCATGGGTAGATTTGTGAGGATGCTATATTGATTTTCCCTGAGCATTTGGGGCTCAAGGAAATGAAATACCAGCAGAGCCTTGCTATTCACGTCCACTCTGATGAACAGACACACACAGGCCCTGCGTAGAGGCTGGGAGGGAAGGCACAGGATGGAAGTCAGAACACCTGGTTCTTCTCATACCTCCGCCACCAAAGAGCCCTGCCACCCAGGACAGCACATCTGTATTCCCCCGGTCTCAATTTTCATCTGCAGAATAAGAGGGTTAGCTCTGAAGTCACCTGGAACCAGAGAGCCTAGGCTCACCCCTGAGCCATGTAATCAGCAGCTGGGTGACCCTGGGCAAGTTATCAACCAGCCGGCATCTCAGTTACATTCTTTGTAAAATGGAGACACACCGCCCGTCTCTGAGTTGCTACAATACAAATGAGTTAATACTTGTGACTTGGGCTGGTGCCTGGCCTGTGTTAAGTTCTCTGTGTCCCCTGTCCTTGTTCTTCTTATCATTATCATCAGCTCCTCCCCCTCCTTTCCCTGACTTCAGACAGGCTTCTGGAGAGATCTCCTAGGCTTGGTCTCGTTCATCCCTTGGGCTTGGAGAAGACCTAAGAAGTGGGGGACGTGAGTGGAGCTACTTAACCTTCCTACACCAGGGTGAGGAGTGGAAAGGCGAGAATCACCCACTCTGCCAAATAAAGGCAGGCAGGAGATGGACGGAGAAGAGGACCGAGGAGGTGGGCGGAGCAGGGAGCAGCTCTCCACTCTGAGCTGACCCCCTTTGCACATGCCACATTAAAACAAGGCAAATAGATGGTTCTCAACATTGCAGGCATACTCTGCTGCCCCCTGCACAGGCAGTGAACAAAGATGGGGTACCCGGGTGGGGATTCCCCAAGGAAGGGCAGGAACACTCACTGTAGCCGGCCTCCTTCTCTGGGGTCTACAAGGAAAGAAGGGAAGAGAACGGTCACTTCTACAGCTCTGGGGACCACCCACTGTTCCCCCTCTCTCACCCTGCTCCACAGTGTGATTAGAGACTATGGCCATGGGGTGGGAGGGTCCCAAGATGGGCAGCCCCAAGGAGGAGACAGGTAGGCCCAGGGACTGGTGATTCTTGAGGAGACAAGGCCTTTCCAGGCCATGACTAAAAAGAGGCCTCTCCAGGTGACTTACCAATGGGGACTTATCGTTCATGTAAACCATAGGGTCCTGCAGAGGAGACCAAAGGCAACAACTTAGGGTTCTGGGACCGAAGACACCAGAATGCACGGCATGCGTTTGTCCCAGCTAGTGGGAGGCGAAGAGGGCACGGGGAGAGCAGGGAAACCCCTCGGGGGCTCCGCACAGGCTCACCAAGGACTTCTCCTCCTGCCTCAGCCACTGGGAATCTTCCAGCATCTGCTTCTGCTGCTTGTCCAGGATCTGCCGCATCTTGATCTTCTCAGCCTCCCACAGCTGCTGGGCCTCTTCTCTGCTGCTGGGTCGAATGAAGTCCTCCTCCTGGGAGGACAGCGGAGAGAAAGGAGAGATGCAATGGGCCCATCCCAGGCTTGGAGGAGGGACGGTGTCCAGAAGAGCCTCAGGGGAGCCACAAGCCTCGGCCTTGCAGCCACTTCTTTCTAGCTTGTTCCTAGCCCGGCAGCCCTATAGGCAGACAGTTATTATCCGGGTCTCACACACAGCCCCGGAGGCAGCAGAAATGACGAACCCCAGCACACACTGCTAAATATGCACCCACCGTACTCAAGCTGCCACGTGAACTGTCAATGACATTTTGCCATTATATTTTCTCGGTTGGCATTGGTGATGTTGCGGTCACTTAATAGATTTAGAAATGCAAAGCCAGCCTCTGGAAGCCCTTTGGTTTTTTTTTTCCCTCCATCTAAGTGCCACGTGGCAGTCCTGGAAGTTTCACGGGACACAGGTGTGGCCTCCAGCTCCCTGGCATGCAGTCCCACTCAGCTTTGTTAAGGTAGCCGCCAGGATTATCTAACCAAAGGCCAGAAGTTTAGGAGCTAGAGGCAGGATGAAGAATGAAATTTAAAGAAGCAAAGCTCTGCAGGTCTCAAGGCAAGTGCTTCCTCTTCCCAGCTTTATTAGCCTCACCCTGTTTTCACTCACCTGCGGGACTGCGGACCTACAGACCGAGCTGCTGAATAGAAAGCGCGGGTGTCTTTCTATTTTCCCTCCTCCTTTTTATGGTTCAATTGTGTAATTATCTGCTTAGTCCCTCCTACTACTCTGCTCTCCCCCTGCTGTACAGTGATCCCCTTGGCATCCGGGACAGAGGGAGAGTGCCAGGGGCAGCCCTTTGAGTACTCCCCAGGGAGCCTTTGCCAGTGACAGGACTGAGCCATGACAAGGAAGCCCACAGGCACTCCAGCTCCTGCTATAGCTGAACGTGGTCCTCACAGTTCATGTGTTGGATGTTTAATCTCCTGCACAACAGCATTGGGAGGTGGGGACTTTAAGAGACCACTAGACCACGAGGGCTCTGCCCTCATGAGTGGGTCAGTGCCACCAGCACAGGAGGGGAGACTGACAGAATCACGAGTTAGGCCTCCTTCCCTCACTTTCCCATACTGTTTTTCGTCACATGGGTGATGCCTCTGCCAAGCTATGACACAGCAGGAAAACCCTCACCAGCTGTGGCCCTTGGTGCTGGGCTTCCTAGTCTCCAGAACTGTAAGAGATGGATCTCTGTTCATCGTCCATCACCCAGTGCCCAGGGTCCTGTTACAGCAGCACAAAATGAACTCAAACAGTTCCTCTCCTTCAAAGTGGCCAGTGCACACACAAATCACATAAAGAAAATTCTAGAAAAACTCTATATACTTTTTAGAAAGCTACAATCCCTGCCAAGCCTCTCAAGATAGTTTCCCAGTACACCCTATAAAACAAACTTGAATATTACAATATAGTCTAAAAACAGCTGTATTGGGACAGTTTACCTAGAGTTCATTTAGCTTCAGTTACCAATCTTGATTTCTAATAATGCCTTCCCTACAAGTTAGGTTTTTTTGCTAAAATATTCCTTATTCAATGATCTATTCAGTATCTACTCATTAAGCAATACTGTGAAGCAGGCATAGAACTGGGTGCTGGGAGAATAGTGATTTTAAAATAGAAGATGTTCCTTTTCTCATGGGGATCAGTAAACAAGAGTTAGGCCAGGGTTGGGGCCAGACAATCAATCCTTTATTTCAAGGAAATTTCCTTGTAGGATGTAAAGCAGCCTCTGGCCTCCACCCTCTAGGTACCTGCAGCCCTTCCCACTGGGACAAACATGTCTCCAGACATTGCCAAGTGTCCCTGCAGAAGCAACACACCTCAGCTGAGGTTCACTGAGCTAGACCTCTTTAAAAGAAAACAGATTTCAGAATGTAAGGGTATTTTACAACCCTGGGATTGCTGAATATATATGATCTACTTCACAGAGACAGAGTGCTATGGTTTAAGCTTTGTTTGCCCCCCAGAGGTTCATGTGCTGGATGGAGGCTGGGTTCCATGTGGCAGTGCCGAGGTGTTGGAATCTCCAAAAGAAGTGGGGCCAGGTGGGACATAACTAGGCTGTGGGTGTGCCACTCTTACAAATGGTTTAATGCTCTCTCATGGGAGTGGGCCAGGTGTGGAAGGAGTGCATTAATTCTTGAGAGAGGGGACTGCTATGAAAAATGTATTCCTCTTGGGATCTTGTTTTCTGTATTGCCATGTGATCTCTCCTTGCTATATGTGCTCCTACCGTGATGCCACCCATCAGACTGTGATGTAGCCAGAAGGCTTTGACCAGAGCTAAGCACATGTCAGTGTCTTATTCTTGGATTTCTGAAACTATGAGCTAAACAAACCCCTCTTCTCTATAAAGTATCCAGCCTCGGGCATTTTTTTATAGCCACACAAAAAGGAATAAGTACTCATTAAGCAATTGAAGCAGGCACAGAACTGATACTCCAAAATGAACAAATTTTGAGGCCACAAATATCCTTGGTTAAGTGTCAATACTTGTAAACACCATGGTATGGCTGCCCCAGGCTATTGACAAATAGTGATAAAAAGGAACTAAGTGCCTGAGGTTCTACATACAGAGATAAGAATTTCTAGGTGTAAGAAAAAAAAATATACAGACTGAGAAAGATTCAATGCAGAAAGGATCAGTTATTGGAGTCCAGAAAATACTGTATAATTTTACAAATGCTACCTCTTTCATGCTTTGTGTGTTCCAAGCTTAATCTCAGCAAAAACTTTAATGAACCAATATTAGAAGACTCAACAGAACGAGTCTTTCAATTTCATAGAAAGACCAAAGGAAAAAATGGGAGCCTTTACAACCTTGAATCTCTAGGCTGGTTTTTCTGAAATGCGCTCTAGGTATTCTTCCCAGGTTATGGACAGTGAACACTCCCTTTGTCTTTTAAAATGATGTTCATGAGCCACGATACCTGCCAGCCTCGTTCCCCCACCTCCATATATACCCTTCCTTGCTCAAACACCACCCCACTTGCCCCTGCCTCTTCCATCCCTACATTCCAGTTTCTTCCAGTCCATCCTTCAGGGCCCAGCTGAAAGCCAGCAGCAGGCAGGAGTCACTCTCCCCTCTGAACACCTGCTTCGTGGCCCCCACAACTTTCTGGCTCACATTACCCGTGAGCCTGCACTTGACCTGCTCCTTCTGACTGACTGTAAGCTCCTTGAAAGCAAAACCACGTGTTCCTCCTTCAGCACCCTGGACAGCGCCCGCGAGCGCACAGACACAACGTGGCCTGTGGAACTTCAGTACTGACTTGGGAAGACTCCCGGAAGGAGATGCTGCCACCCTGACTCTGCGGCATCCCACAGGCTCCCAGATGAGCCAGGCCATGGAGCCAGTCAGGAGGAAAAATGTTGTTACCATCTCTGAGCGTTCCTTTAATGTTTCCAAATGCCTTGCAGGGGACCTCATCAGCGCTTCGCCTGGGGGAGAATTTTCTCAGTGTTTCTGATCTATATTTTTAATCTTTTTTTGTTTGATTAAAGAAGTGCTCATTATGTTCTTGCAGGCAGATTTTTTCTTGGCAATTACTTCTAAACCTCTGACACAAAAGGTCTTTTTTCCTGCGGCACAGTCTGTCTTTAAGGAACGGAACAAAATCCTCCCAGCGGAGCAGGGCTTAGACAAAGGCCACGCAGCCCCGCACGTGTACAAAACAGCTTCTTTCTAAAAGCACAGTTTTTAAAGGAAAGCTCCCTAAAATTTAATTAATTATGTATAAAGAGTCGAGGGCAGAAGGGTAGAGAAACTGCATACTGCCTAAATTATAGTACATGCTTAGAAGCATAGTTTTATTATTGTTAAGCATATGAAAAGACAGAAATTGTTTAAATTAATGTGAGAGAGAAAAACGAGGTAGGTTGGGGAAAATTTATTTCACAACAGATCTCGCTGCCTGGAATTTGAAGCTACCATGGGCATTCACATTTTTACTAAATAAAGAATAACAGTACAGACATATATCAACATACTTGCCAAAAATTTCCAAATCTGTTATGATAAACACATATTCCCTTGCCCCCAAATTTTTAGAGACATATATCTTGAGCCTGAAATATCAGACATATAAACAAGTTGGAGCTAAAATAATGAGTTTAGCCTGTTTTGTAACCCAATTTGGTAAAATATGTCAAGATTTCACGACAACGAATGGCAAGAGGTCATTGCATTAAAGGAGATGATTGGTGGCAAGTGAGCATCTGCTTTCAAGCAAAGATGGTTTTGCTACATAAGATCTGACAATCAACAGATATTCCACAAAGCAGTCAGGGTCTCACAGTCACTGATGACAAAGAGATCACTGGGGAGGTGGCTTAGCCCCCTCTCTAGCAGTTCATAAGCCTGTAACCACAATACCCTGAAGCTCCTTCCCACCCAGCAACACCTTTACAAAAGCAGCAGCAGGAGAAGCAGCCACCAGGAAGCCTTTCTTTCCTCTGATGGAGGAGAGATTTAGCAATCAGGCAGGATGGCAGAGTAGGGCAGAACCTCCAGGGTCTTTTATTCTTTAGCACCACCAGGCCTGGCTGCACTCCACCCACCAGCCTCCACATACTGCACAACACCCTGCCTCTGGGGCTCAGAAAAGGAAGAGACTTTTACATCATTTGCCACAGCATCAGTGTGGACAAGGGCAGTTCCAGCTGGTGTCCAGCTGGTGTCCCCAGGAGCAGAGCCTAACTTCATCCCAACTCTGATGTATTTGCAAAGGGAAGAGTCACAGAACACCTCGATGACTTGACTGGCACACAGAAGCATGGAGGGCACCCCTGAGGCTGAGGATGTTCCTAGTATCCCAGGCCACCTCCCTCCAGCAGCCTCCTCAGTCCGGGCTGGGACTCAGCATGCAGTGCCCTCTTACCCGCATGCTGTGGCGCTTGAAGACATTGTGCCGGTGGAGAGGTGGGGTATGCAGCGAGTTAACGGGAGATGGGTACTCCATAGGGCTGGTGAGCGTAGGGGAGCTGGCACAAAGACCCTCAGGGACCTATTCAGGAGAAGCAAAGAAGCACAAGGCACAGGACAAGGCAAGGGGGTGGACAATCAGCTGCTACAAACAGGAGCACAAAGAAGTGATACAGGAGCATCATGGGGGACACAGACTTGCTCTCTCAGAGTTGCTGAAGAATGTGGTGTGGCATCTCCTTGGCCCTGTTGGAGACACCTGGTGGAGCATCGTGGCCTCTTATCTGCCTAACACTCCCCCAGTAGTGTTCTGCACACACAGGGTCCAGGCAGGCTGCTATTGAGACCATGACTCCTCCCTCGGGCCCTTTTCCAAACAGTTATGTTTCCTAGTTATGTTACAAATTGACAGTTATGATTAGTCCATGGATAAGTAAATTCTCACACACATAGTTGTCCTTCCATATTCGAGGGAGATTCATTCCAGGACACCCTGTAGATACCCCAAATCTGCAGATGCTCCAGTTCCTTGAGCAAACTGGCACGGTATTTGCATGTAACGTACATAACATCTCCCAGTATGCTTTAAATCATCTCTAGATTGCTTTTGCCATCTAATGCAATGTAAGTGCTGAACAAATAGCTGGCATACAGTCATTTTAGGGGAATGGCAAGAAAAGTCTATACATATTCAGTATAGATGAGATTTTTTCCTATGTTAATATTTTTGATTCCTGGTTGGTTGAATCCATAGATACAGAACCCATGAATATGGAGAGCCAACTGTGTGTGTGTGTGTGTGTGTGTGTGTGTGTGTGTGTGTGTGTATGTAATTATCAATAATTATATACAGTTATATGTAAAATTTAAATAACAACACTATTTTAAATATGTTTGGTTTTTAAGGACATTGCTTCCACCTTCTGAATCAAAGCATTTTATTTTCACATAAAGGAAAATATTGGTACTGTTGGTTCTTGGTTGGGCTTACTCAGGCATGGGGCATTTCCTTGGGAGAAAATATACAAATCTGGGACACAGCCCCCAGTAAGGAGCATCAGTAAACTGATATTGCTGCTGTTGGTTGAGATATTCTAGTTCTGAATGGCAACTCTGATGGGGGGATGAAAGAGAGGGACAGAGAGGAAGCCGGGCTCCCTCTTACCCAGTCATAAGAGAAGGACTCAGGACAGGGGCGTTCTGAGTCAGGGACCTACAGCCTTGATGAGATCCATGGTTGGTGGTGACAGAGGTGGAGAAGGCTCAGATGGAACCCTGCTCCCTTCACTGGCTACCTAGGTCCTGGCCAGGACCTCTGCAGGGAGCCTCAGGGATCCACTCCATTCTCTGGGGACATCATCCATCCCTAGTTCCTTGGGATTACTTCTCAGAGGCTCTGCTCAGGGTAGGAGGCCAGGGAAGTCTTGGACATGGGGAGGGAGCTACAAGCAGGTACACGAAGCAGCAGACACTGCAGATAGACAGACTAGGCTGCAGGAAGGTCTGCTTAGCTGAGGACAGTCTGGCAGGACTGAGTTGCTATTCTTTTGATGTGAGTTCAAACTCACATCAAAGAGCCAAACAAAGAAACAAAGAAGAGTCAACCCAGCTATCTTCATCGTCTGAGCAGATGGCTGCTACTCCTTAATGGCACAGGAATGGAATTTCAAGAAGCACCTGACAAGGGATGGGCCTGGCCATTCCCAGCCCCCTGGTTACACATTTACCTGGAACTGTAGCTTGGGAGCGAGCAGGTTGGTTTGTGGAGGGGGTCTATACTTGGGCCGGCTGGGCTGGAAAAGAGGATATAGAGCAGTGTCAGTTGCATCCCTCCCATTAATGAATGGATTGGCCCACTAAGGGGAGCATCAGCTTGAATATAGCTCAGCCTCATTCACAATGAAGGAGCAATGGTGGACAAGGTTATCATTAAATCATTTTGCATCCACTTCTGAGAACCAATTACATGCTGAGAGATGGGAAGTCACAGGGACTGGCCTCTGCCAGAGGGGCTATGGCTAATTGGAGGGGTTAATGGCCTCTGTGTGTGCAGCCTCCCTGTATGTGGGAGTGCCTGACACACCAGCCATGGATAGCCGCATTCAGAGCAGGAGGTCACTGAGGGCTCAGGGACTCACAGAAACTTCATGGAGATAAAAGTTGCATTGGGCCCCAGGGAAAGGGCAGCACATGCCTGGCAGGAGGAACAATGAGAAAAGACCTCGGTTCAGATCATACATTATTATGGACTGAATGTTTGTGTCCCCTTTAGTTCATATGTTGAAGTCCTGTCCCCCAATGTGATGGTTTAGGAGGCAGAGATTTGGGGAGGTGATTAGGGTTCAATGAGTTCATGAGGATGGGGCCCCATAAAGGGATTAGTGCCCTTAGAAGAAGAGGAGGAGAGACCAGAGGTTTCTCTCTCTCTCTCCACCAGGTGAGGACACAGCAGGAAGGTGGCTATCTGAAAGCCAGGAAGGGGCCCTCACCAGATACCAAAGTTGCTAGAGCCTGGCCTTGGACTTCCAACCTCCAGAAGAGAGGTAAGTGCGTGATTTAAGCCACTCATTCTGTAGGATTTTGTTATGGCAGCTCTAGCTGACAAATACAGGCATGGTCTCTGGACCCCTCCCCCCACATGATGGTGGAGCAGTGGGGCTCTGGTTACTGAGCCCAAGCTGCCATGGAGAGCATGGACAGAGACTGGACTTCGGGGGCCCAGGATGCTCTCCATCCATGTATCCTCAGGGCGAGCTAACTTAGCCCTAGGAAGCTCTCAGAAGAAAAGTGCCCAGCCTCCCAAGGGAAAGTTCTGAGAAATGGCAAGGTATCTGCTGTCTCAGATGACACCTGCCAGGGCCTGAAGATGACAAGGGGTGATTGATAGATAGCTGAGTTGCAGAACTGAGAGAGGATTGTAGGAAAGCATCCTGCTTACATTGAGCAGGCAGTGGGTCACACAGGCCCTGGCTCTGTTTTGGCTCATGGGACTAATAGCAAGGCCAGGGGCTGGCTTACCTTGGGTGGGGGTTCCTGGGAGGCGATGGGCTCCAGTATTTTAGGTGGTCGGTAGCGAGCATTCCTTTCTTGCTCTATGGCAATGTCCTTCTCCATCTGATAAATGTCACTGCCAAGGCAGCAGGTCAGACAGGGTGGGAGACAGGGTCAAAGCCAGTCACTCCCGGTGACTCCTCTCTACTACATTGAAACTAGGAGAGGACTGGATAAGGGCCTTGATCCCATTTTCATTTATGTTTCCTCTGAAGGGGGGACCCCTCTGAGACAGGCTGGGGTATGGATCCTGAGGGCACCCTGCACCAAGTTGGGAGGACCACAGGGATGGGTCCAAGGTGGGAGGAGGTCCCTGGAGAGCCAGACTTAGCCCAACCAGGCAGCAGAAGGCTGCTGTATCCCCAGCTCCCCACACTTCCTGCCCTCCTGTGCCTGCTATTGGAGCCAGTCCCCTGTTTAGATTTCCAGTGCCCCAGTCAACTTCATGATGAAGGCCTGGGTTTGACTTGTCATTAAACAATCCACCATCTGGTTTCTGATGTCAGCAAATGGGCTGTGGATTCACCTCCCCCAACCCCCACCTGTTAGCTATTCTAGTGCCCCTCATCTTTCTGCCCCAATTCAGTGCTTCTCAACCTGGGCATCACAGACCCCAGAGGCCTCTGGAATTACTGCAGAGGCTCCATCAATCCACATGTTCAAATGGGTATGAGTGTTACGTACTTTTGAATACTGCCTGCTACTGTGTTTTCAAACACAATGCATTTTATCAATCAAAGGATTCTAAAATTATGATTACATGGAAGAATTCTCAAAATTTGACCTTTAAAACAGCCCTTCCTACCCCTACAAGATTGGGAAACACTAATCAAAACCTTTCTTCCCCCTAAAGAAGGGACTGTGACCTGAGGGAGGCAGCTGGGGTCCTTTGGGTCTTTGAGTATCCTTCCTTTGCATCAGAGAAGCCTGCTTCAAACTGCATCACGGCGGGGGGCTGGCCCAGTGCCTCCGAAGGAGACACCTCTCCTCTCAGGCACCCCATCACGCTCCCCTGGTTCTCCAGGTCCCAGAATGGACTAAGACCCCACCCTCCTCACTCAGAACTTCTGCTCTCTCAAAGTACAGCTTTCAGTGCATTTCTCCCGGAACTCCCTGGCTTCTCCAATCTCCCTCGTGAGGGACAAACGCA